GAATCGTTTTCTATAAAATAGTTCGTCGTTGACCCAGGTCAGCGAATAAACAATAATCCAGTCATGGTTGTCCAGGGGTCTTCATTCCAACAGTTCTCAGTTATAGATTTCGAAGATAGTCTGTAATGTTGTGATACAAGAGTTAGCACACAAGACACACGGATGACCGCTGTAAGCACGAGTGAAATCAGAGGAGAGAATAGAAACTCCTTATCACGTCTGTATTCGTGGGCGAGATTTTGTAGTTTTCGGGACCCAAAAATCGTCATGCAATCGACAAAATACGTCGTGTTATAAATGGAGTGAAAGAAAGACATAAAATGCCACAGTGCTACGGCGTTGACTATAATACCTGCAATAATTGAACTCATAAGCGTAAGGAAATTCTACCTCTACATTATCTGCAGCAATGAATCCAGTGGTTTTATATAGATCCAGCGTATATCGTGATTCCGGTAGGCACGCACCATCATGTCTCACTGCAAGTAACTCCAATTCGCCATCCTTAATAAAGCTTCCCATGTTTCCTGTCAAAAGCCCAGACATTAAATGTAACTCAGTGCCAGAAACCACACTCGGCTTCATTTCATGTCAGAAATTTTTATTGCATGAATGCATTCACTCCATCCACGGACTCTTGGAGCGATGCGATGTAAAACCTTGTTTACTGGGCTTCGGCTCATGAGTTGTCCTTCTGTTTCCCTTCCATAGAAACTGTCACAAGCACCTGCCTTCGGAGAATCAAGCGCCGCTTGAACAGCGCTTTAAAAAAGGGTGTAGCACTGCTTTTTATGTTCTCAGCGCGGGGCAGTATGCTCGCCAGCTCGAGGATTCGCATAAATAAATGTCTAATAGTGTTTTAAATTGGGTTCGAGAAGGAGCGTGTACAACCGTCGGAGGAAGGTCATTTCACGCAGCTACTACCCGAAATGAAAAAAAGTTTTGTCTAACGGATGTGTGTGCCCTGAGCTTGAAGATTTTCTTACTATGTCCCCGCCGGGTGTTTGCTGGGTCAACGGTAAAAAACCTGTTTGTCAAGCTTTGTTCAAACAGGGCGTAGGTAAGAATTAGGTCCCCTTGGAGGCGACGGTACTCCAGGGGAAATAGATCAAGCGTCGCGAGACGCGTTTCGTAGTCCACGGACTTGAGGCCGGCAACTATTCTCGTGGCGGCCCGCTGGACACGCTCAATGAGGGTAACGTCTTTCGTACGTCCTGAGTAGACAACTTTGTTGGCGTACTCCAGGAGCGGTCTGACGTCTCCCGTAATACGGGAGAAGGTACGTCGGATCATCCGTAAAACGGCGAATGCCTTTTGGGTCGATTTCTCATGGTGTAGTGCGAAGGACAAGTTTGAGGAGACCCAGATGCCTAAATCTTTTTTTGGCATCTATCCTCATGATGTTTTCTGGTCCCTTTTCACCATGCATAACAAAGGCATTCGCTGAATCCCCTCCAAACGACACATGGACGCACTTTTCATCATTCAGAGGAAGGTGCCAGTCCAACGACCACTGCTTGGCAGCGTCTACATCCATTTGGGGGGCACTGGCATTGGAACTCCAGGATTTCAAGTCGTCCGCAAAAAGTAGACATGGACTCGCAACAACGTCTGGGAGGTCGTTGACGTAGATCAGAAACAGGAGTGGTCCCAAGACGGAGCCTTGACGAACTCCAATGGAGACCGGTGCTGGAGAGGAGTAGGTCGAGCCTATTCTCACTCGGAATGATCTGCCTGATAGGAACACTTTGATCCAGCGGATTTTCCCTTGAATCCCGTGAGACTCGAGTTTGTGGAGCAGCGGGACGTGTGGGACCTTATCAAATGCTTTTGAGAAGTCGAAAAATATGGCATCCGACATGAGTCCTTCGTCCTTGGCTTGGGTTAAGCTGTCCATAAACACGAGCATGTTTGTCACGCAAGAACGGGAGACATAGGTAGAATATGGTGGCTAAATAAATAATCTGCCCAGTGGCCCATATGCAGGCTTCTTCTATACATCATAGCTTCACTATCACCTCTGATTAGCACACAAAAACGGTATCCAGATATTCGGCGGAATTCCGGACCGATACCGCTTTGCTGCACAAGGTAGGCGCCGCTACGACCAAGATACTGACGCCGGTCGCGATTGGCCGTTTGCCGGTATAGCAACAAGGCCAATCACGGATTCACGGATTCACGGATTGATACACAAGATCGAGGCTTTTGCCCAAGTTTCTTGGGTCGGTTTTGTTCTTGTCGGTCAGTGACTGCCGTTCACCTGAAAGGCATAAGTGGAAAAAGGGTGTAGCCCTACTCTTTATGTACTCAGCGCGGGGCAGTGTACTTGCCAGCGCGAGGATTCGCATAAATAAATGTCTAGTAGTGATTTGAAGTGGGTTCTAAAAGGAGCGTGGACAACCGTTGGAGGAAGGTCATTCCACGCAGCTACTACCTGAAATGAGAAAAATTTTGCCTAACGAACGTGTGCGCTCTGTGAAAGAAAATTTTCCTACCACGTCCCCGCCGTGTTAGCTGGGTCAACGGTGAAAAACCTGAGCACGTTCATGGTCAGGGTGCCAGCTCTCCGCTGTGTTAGCTGGGTCAACGGTGAAAAACCTGAGCACGTTCATGGTCAGGGTGCCATGGGGCTCTCCGCTGTACTTGAAGTCGCGTACTCTAGCCATATTGTGTGTAAATTTTGTGCGTGATGGTGCTGCTTGTAAGTGATTTTGCCCGGGATTTTCCCCCACAAAGGGTGGGGTGAATGTAGGCGGTTGACCTGAATGGCTGTCACGATGCGCAAGATGTGGACGTTGGTTTATGTTCGTTCGAATCTTGAGCACCTGGCCGAAACGCTCACAGGTGAAGCTTTGTTACGAGAAGTGGGAGGAGACCAAAGATATATTGTCGAAAAATTCCAAATTTGCCTTTGATGTGCTGGTTATATCGAACCCTTGGGATGAAGAGAATGGCTGCTAGGCTTTTTTAAGCGGAGGTTACCTAAGACGTACCAGTGTGCACCATCCTATCTTTCTATAGTTGGACAACGTGACCGCACCAATCCATACAAGCAGCAGCTTCTCCAAATTTTGAGAGTACAAAAGAACTCGGACGATTAATCAGTGCGGCGGTGAAAAAACACTGTGACAGGTAGAGATAATTATGCCCGATGATGAGGGATAAAGCCATATCTGGAAGGTGATGCGTGGTGGGATCCGGAAGCTTGAGGATTGGAGAAAACTGGATTAAAAATTATTGTGCTGAAGCCATTTTAGTTAATCTGCCAAAAAGTACACAGGCGTAGCCACTGAATTTTGTCCAAATTATTCTTGATCTGAAATGGCGCTCAGTATTCGCACAACGGAATTGAGTGTTTGAAAGTTATGTCCTGCCCCTGATGGGCTAAAACGGATAGGCAATTAAGTTCAGAATATTGGTCCAAACTTTTCAGTCCCATTCAGACTTCCTTGAGTCCCAGTGATGCTAGGAATGCCTTCCATTGGAATTTTTCTGCCAGAGGTATGATTGCCTCACCGGACAATGAAATCTGGTGAGTCACGAAAACATGATCGTAGATGAAGGTGATCTTTTTGGCTCGCTGATATATGCGAAAAATTTCAACATTTTGGCGTGGACATTCTTATTCCACTCTGCGGCCAAGAGCGTTGCGCAACCAAGGAGCCCCGCCAAATACTACCAGGCTTGCGCTCCCTTCTAAACGACAACCTAAACCGTGTTACATAGATTATTGCCCAAGACCGTGTCAAAACAGATGTGCATTGCGTCGTACATAACGTGACAACATCCTGGACAATGCAACAACTTCTAGAAACATCACCGGCAACCGGCTTTCGATGGAACACAATCCTGATTTATTGTGTAGTTCCTCACTTTCGGTCAATCACAGATAGCCAATCATAGATAGTCCATAGGTCATTTGGAGGAGACTCAGTGAATGCCTTTGTTATGCATCGTAATAAAGGACCAGAAAACATCATGCGGATAGATCCCAAAGAGGATTTGGGCATCTGGGTCTCCTCAAACATATCCTTCTTACTGCGCCACGAGAAATCGGCCCAAAAGGCATTCGCAATTCTACGGATGGTCCGAAGCACCTCCTCCCGTATTACTCGCATGGACTTCCAAATACTCTATTGGGCCTACGTCAGACTGCTCCTGGAATACGCTAACCAAGTTTCTGACTCAGGATGCGCGAAAGACGTCACCTTATTGAGCGTGTCCAGCGGGCCGCTATGGTTACCGGCCTCAAATCCGTGGATTACGAAACGCGTCTCGCGATGTTCGATCTCCTTCCCCTGGAGTACCGTCGCCTCCGAGGAGACCTAACTCTTGTTTATGCCCTGTCTGAACAGAGCTTGGCAGAGAGGTTTCTCACCGTTGGCCCAGCTAACACGGCGGGGACGTGGTAGGAAAATTTTCAGGCTCAGAGTGCACACGTTCGTTAGGCAAAATTTTTCTCATTTCAGGTAGTAGCTGCGTGGAATGACCTTCCTCCAACGGTTGTCCACGCTCCTTTTAGAACCCACTTCAAATCACTACTAGACATTTATTTATGCGAATCCTCGCGCTGGCAAGTACACTGCCCCGCGCTGAGTACATAAAGAGTAGGGCTACACCCTTTTTCCACTTATGCCTTTCAGGTGAACGGCAGCCACTGACCGACAAGAACAAAACCGACCCAAGAAACTTGGGCAAAAGCCTCGATCTTGTGTATCAATCCGTGAATCCGTGAATCCGTGATTGGCCTTGTTGCTATACCGGCAAACGGCCAATCGCGACCGGCGTCAGTATCTTGGTCGTAGCGGCGCCTACCTTGTGCAGCAAAGCGGTATCGGTCCGGAATTCCGCCGAATATCTGGATACCGTTTTTGTGTGCTAATCAGAGGTGATAGTGAAGCTATGATGTATAGAAGAAGCCTGCATATGGGCCACTGGGCAGATTATTTATTTAGCCACCATATTCTACCTATGTCTCCCGTTCTTGCGTGACAAACATGCTCGTGTTTATGGACAGCTTAACCCAAGCCAAGGACGAAGGACTCATGTCGGATGCCATATTTTTCGACTTCTCAAAAGCATTTGATAAGGTCCCACACGTCCCGCTGCTCCACAAACTCGAGTCTCACGGGATTCAAGGGAAAATCCGCTGGATCAAAGTGTTCCTATCAGGCAGATCATTCCGAGTGAGAATAGGCTCGACCTACTCCTCTCCAGCACCGGTCTCCATTGGAGTTCGTCAAGGCTCCGTCTTGGGACCACTCCTGTTTCTGATCTACGTCAACGACCTCCCAGACGTTGTTGCGAGTCCATGTCTACTTTTTGCGGACGACTTGAAATCCTGGAGTTCCAATGCCAGTGCCCCCCAAATGGATGTAGACGCTGCCAAGCAGTGGTCGTTGGACTGGCACCTTCCTCTGAATGATGAAAAGTGCGTCCATGTGTCGTTTGGAGGGGATTCAGCGAATGCCTTTGTTATGCATGGTGAAAAGGGACCAGAAAACATCATGAGGATAGATGCCAAAAAAAGATTTAGGCATCTGGGTCTCCTCAAACTTGTCCTTCGCACTACACCATGAGAAATCGACCCAAAAGGCATTCGCCGTTTTACGGATGATCCGACGTACCTTCTCCCGTATTACGGGAGACGTCAGACCGCTCCTGGAGTACGCCAACAAAGTTGTCTACTCAGGACGTACGAAAGACGTTACCCTCATTGAGCGTGTCCAGCGGGCCGCCACGAGAATAGTTGCCGGCCTCAAGTCCGTGGACTACGAAACGCGTCTCGCGACGCTTGATCTATTTCCCCTGGAGTACCGTCGCCTCCAAGGGGACCTAATTCTTACCTACGCCCTGTTTGAACAAAGCTTGACAAACAGGTTTTTTACCGTTGACCCAGCAAACACCCGGCGGGGACATAGTAAGAAAATCTTCAAGCTCAGGGCACACACATCCGTTAGACAAAACTTTTTTTCATTTCGGGTAGTAGCTCCGTGGAATGACCTTCCTCCGACGGTTGTACACGCTCCTTCTCGAACCCAGTTTAAAGCACTATTAGACATTTATTTATGCGAATCCTCGCGCTGGCGAGCATACTGCCCCGCGCTGAGAACATAAAGAGCAGTGCTACACCCTTTTTTCACTTGTGCCTTTCAAGTGAACGACAGCCACTGACCGACAAGAACAAAACCGACCCGGGAGACTTGGGCAAAAGCCTCGATCCTGTGTATCAGTCCGTGAATCCGTGAATACCCTGCCCACACTTAAAGCGCTGTTCAAGCGGCGCTTGATTCTCCGAAGGCAGGTGCTTGTGACAATTTCTATGGAAGGGAAACAGAAGGACAACTCATGAGCCGAAGCCCAGTAAACAAGGTTTTACATCATCAATGCTTACGTACAAATCAATCAAACTGATAGACACCGCATAGTACACATGTATACTTCCGGTCGACTTTTGTGGTTTTCTTCGAATTCAAGGAATCCATTGACTCTGTGGGTGGGTTAGTTCTCTTCCACATTCACTTGGCCAAGGAGCACTGCTCTTGAGGTTTCGAAGTGCAATGCACACTGTTCATCCCCAAACATCCAGTCGCATATATGCGGCCCTTCTGGGGTTTGTGATTAATCAAAATACTTTAAACAAATCTAAGGTTATGGTGGTTGGTTAAAGTGTTCAAAGTTTGGTTGCGCAACATTCTTCTACGAAGGAAATGACTGTCCTAATGTGGAATTCTTGTTTGTGAAAAGCAGAGGATAAGATGTCGCTTAGCAACGCAAAGTGTAGGCAGCTACCATCACACTGAGTGCTGTGGTATCTTAGCTATTTCTTGGTTATTGGTCACTTGACTCTCTGCGTATTGTAGGCTGTAGGACGCTCCCCTCCTTGCCTTTTCACGTATTACCTTTTTTCATTCCCCATTGCAATTTGAGTACTGCCTCTGCACGTCCAAGCATTAAGACTGATCGCTTTGTTCGCTTTCCAGCTTGCTCAGCTGCAGCTTCTGTGCGCTGGTCTTCAGTAACAACCCCACACATGTCGAGTTCAGTTTTCAAACCCTAAAAGCTGTCTTTGATGTTCGCACACTGTAGCATTCGACTCAACATGCTAATCTGAATCTGTCGAGCAGTTTTCAACGTTCTGACTGCTCTTTTAGAACGGACTAAAAGCTGACGTAGGTGCACTTAGCGGTGCTAAGCTTCAATCGGGTGGTCGTCCTTGGCTGGATACGAGACGCACGGACAACGGAGAGCGCCCGCTGCAGATGTGCACTGGCCACAGACCATTCTGCAGTACACATTTCCGAAATATGAAATCGTTCTACTTCGTGATGCCCGAACCCAAGCAAAACACGATGTCATCAACTACCGTTGGTGAAACTTCATCACCGCCAATAGCTGCTCCTCAAATATTTATGTGGATTGTGATCATAAACTTGTCCCTTGTACTCATTAGGTCTGTGCAAACTGCACTTAGCCACTGAAAAGCTAGTGGACCGCTAAATCAAACAAATGTATCGACCACCTCCTCCACCGTCTACCTGCTGATTCGCTGTCGAATATTAACGATCACCGAGGACAGATACCCCAAACTTTGCTCAGTGTCAGAACTTTTACATGCAGTGTAACCCTGCCAAGCGCATTCAAGGATTGGACCTCTGGTAAGACCGTGGCTCTGGTGGAGACTTGACAACAGTTTCCCTCTAGTCGCAAACAGCCCAAAATAATGTACCCTCCGATGACAATCCGAAAGGTTGCAGAAATCCAAGTGAAAAATGCCAGGATTACCCGCATTTTGTTCTAATTGTTCCGCTCAATCAGTACTAGTCATTGAAACCATCAAACCGACTTTCTGATACCTAGCAAAGGAAGACATCTGGACCGTTAAGCACAATACTTCGAACAACAATTCACTTACTCATTTTCTGTTTGCGGTCCGGACTGTTGGCCTTTAATGTGAACGTCAATATTCAGCCTCCCCAAGCCTCATTCACGTTCGAACATATATCCTTACCCAGAGTTCTGACGGGCTTTCCCCTGCTTTGTTTAGGGACCATGGCGAACTCCTGAGCTAGCTCCTGGCTAGCCTAGTCGTGTCTCTCCGGATGAAAGAGACTTTATCAGACAATTGGGCCAAGCCGATAATAACGCCCGTCTTCAAAAAGGGTACTCGCAATGGAGGTGGTGATCGCAGGGATGTCAGCTGGACTTGTAACAAGTCTCATGGCATCAGTGGTACTTCGTCTTTTTGAGATGGCACGCGAGACCCTAACCTCCGAACATCAAGCGAGATTTCGACTTGGTGTAGGCTGCGTTATATGTACAAACGACCCACAATCCCCGTTTTCCCCGATTCCAATGATACCTTCAGTTCTGTCGGTGGGCCAGTGCCTCTAAGTACACTTAATCAACAGGGAATACCTCAAATGTTTGTGGACACAACCCGATGCTTATATTCCGACTACTCCGGATGTGCTAGAGTTTATGGTATGCTGTTCGAAAGCTCCTCTGTAAGAGGTGTATGTCGATGATGTACACTCCGTTTTGTCGATAAATCAATGAAGCGAATGTGTGAGGGTCTACAAAACTAGTGTTGATCTGGAGTACGCAGACGATATCGCTCCCGCGTTTGAAAACGGGATGGCTCACTACTCGAGGATTTACTGACCGATGGGCCCGTTGTTCCAACCCGACTTCTGCATCTCGACTTCTGTTCAGGCGGGAGCAACCTGTCACTATCCCAACCCTCGTGCTCCTTTCGAGCACCATGGCACAGAAAGTCTTACAGCTGAATGTTTTTTAGGAGGCAGGTGTAGCAAAAGCTCTGTCGAATAGATTGACCATCATCACACCATCTTTCGGCACGTGCCTCGCAAGTTCAAAGTACAAACTCATGATGCAGATCGTGCAGTCTTTGAGCGTGCTCCTTACAACTCAGGCAGAAGCATTGGAGTTTGTGGGGAATTTTACATGCCTCGGAGCAGCCAATGGGACCTCCCGACCGAACAACTAATTGTGATCAAAGGTCAATCCCATCTAGCAGCATGTATACTAAAACACACGCAACACTACTTAACGCACAACCACCAAATCATCGCTATGCACCGCTACGCTCCCTAACCATGCACTGATGATGTCACGTCGATTGTTGATGAAACGTTTGCAATCGAATAGCCCAGCTCATCGAACAAACCAACGGCCATCTACACCACCTTAGCTATCAACATTTTTCTCTACAAGAAAGCTGTCAGCGTTGGGGCGAGATGGCTCGGTGGTTAGAGCGCATTTGCTGATCGGAAGGTCCGTGGTTCAAACCCGACCTTTGCCTCCCGACTTCCCCTGTCTAGGCTTGGGCGACCTGGCAGTATCGCAGCCGTCGTACTTCTTTTTGGTGGCATGGCAGTTAGGTACCGAAAGGATGCTTCAGCCACGCGGTTTTTTCGTTCTAACGTTAATGTCCCATTTTGCTCTCACCGGCCGCCACAGTAAAACGCCCATATAGTTCGGTGGGGTAGTGTTGTAACTAACTGCTTTCCCCACGACTCAGCTACTCAGCTCCACTTCAAATTCAAAAGTCGCATTATCCTAAAGCACGGCTCTCACGTTTCTGGCGTCACCCCCTCGATATGTCCTTTCGTCCTCAGTCATCGTCTAAATCAGCATATGTGCTTCGGTATCTTGCCCTCTCCTGCCAACAGCCTGAAAGTTTTCACGGTATGCATGTGGCCTTTTTTTGTTCTACTGGTATTTATATTTAAGTTTTTAACCGAACTCATTCCTCCCTCCTTTTTCGTCATGTAACCCGCATCTTAAAGTCTAACGGGCTTTATGGGTTTTTGATCCCGACGACACGGCCGAACTCTTCACCTCTTTCTCCCTGAGAACAATCCGACTTTGCAACCACCTGTCAATTTTTATCCCTAATCCTGTGCCCCTCAAACGCTACACTTAATTGCATATCCTTATTCCACTCAAACTTCTACGTAATAAAATAAGTTCTAAGTCAGTCTGACAATTCTACGCTTTTCAGTCCCGATCCCCGATGGACATATCTGACTGATCATCTCGTATTGGCATGGGTCGCTTGGCACCGAAGTTAGTGCTCACCAACCGACTATCTGTGATTGCGTACATCGCGCTACATTTCCTGTGCCTGCAACCACCTGTGAATGGCGACCACTACTCCACATTGGGACTTCCTCGGTCGGCCTCTCAGGCTGACATTAAAAATGCCTATCGCAGACTGGCACAGAAATAGTAAGTCTTATCCAGCTTTTCCATCCTTTTGTAACTCAGCCATCCGGATAAAAATTCTGACGCGGATGCGGCCCAGAAGTTCATGGAAGTCAATGAAGCCTATGGGGTAAGTTTTTCGGCATGTTATCCCCTTATCCATCTACCAGGTACTCTCCAAACCAGAAAGACGAGCAGAATACGATGCTTTTGGAACGGTACATGAAGAAAGCGGTGGTCATTCCCATGGCTTCCATCCCAGATTCCATAGCCAGTTTATGCATGCTCCGTTCGAGGAAATCTTCGAATTTTTCCCTGGCTTTTCCAAACAACCGGCGTTTTCTTCCAACGTGATGGTGAGTTGTTTATGAGTCAACGCCGACCTAAAGCTTCCCCCCTGTCGTGATGGTCTCGCTTCTGTGCTGCAATGGTCCTGCGGGCTATGCTGGTTGCAACTCAATCCTCAACTGACCAATCGTATTACGATGCGGTCTGGAGTCATACTGTCCCCTGTGGTAGGAGTGTGGGGACAGTAAGGCGTTTTCCCCCAGGTGACCATCTTCCATATTTATGGAAGCAGCTATGCTTCTTTCCCACCCCCCCAGAAACGGGTGAGAAAAAGTTGCCCCGATCATCCAACGGTTGGCCGTGACCGGCGCATTATTCACTACGGTCGAAATACTTCCCAAACCAGAGTTCGGTGCTGTTCAAAAGGCACCTGTGCGCAGCTGCACTAAAAGTGAGACAGCAATGCCTTACTTCCTGTGCCCTTGGGACAAGCGCCCGGGCTGAGCCCTACAGCCAATTGGGACAGACTATTGGGTCATTGGCTCCGGAAAGGGTTCCCCAAGAAAACCCTACCCACCCCAACAGACTTTTGAGTCATAGACTAGGGACAGGCCCCCCCGTACATCCTCCTACTGGCTTGTGGGTCAAAGGTTCAAGTTGGGGTACCCCGAGCAAGCCCCCTTCTTCAGCCTGGACAACCGGGAAGTATTATTTGCTGTTGCAGCTCTTCGCTCACCAGTAATCTCGAACACTTCCTCCCAACACATCTAACAATGTAGTGCAATCAATGAGTCTTCCAATTCCCTAGCCACTGTTCCATGCGCAAACCTTAACCAGAAAAACAAACCAAAATAATCGCTTACTAACCTCAAAAGCTCTGATCCACGTTGCAGTCTATAACTCCGTACTCTCTGTCAGTTTGGGCAACAGGTATCCCTTGTTGATACCTTACTTTTCCTATCTGTTGATGTATGTTGTGTCTCGAAACACGCATACAAGATCCTACTTTGGTCGTACACCTGAAGCCGCTTTGGACGAGCTCAGATGTTCCACATTCCACTTTCGGGTTCTCGGTGATCTCGATGCACTGGCTCGTTGTATCCACTGCGTAAAAGTTGCACTCAGCCCCTAGACCGAAAGCACTGCTGGGTTGGATTCCAGTAAACAGTCGTCTTTGCGCTGTACAGTTGTCTGGCTCAATTGAGAGCAGTGAAGGTCGATGCAGTGAATCGTGTTTGTTTATCGTATCAGTAAATGCTCCAACATATTGCAGTTCTGAGACTGAGGAGGAGAGCCTTTATCAAGATCTGTCGCGGCCGCTTTGGTCAGCAAGAAGGATGGATATAGTAATCCTGGCGGGTGATATGAATGCCCAAGTTGGTCCGATAAATCCTGAAAGAGCACATTTAGGTGGCGGATTTGGGATCGACGCTGAGTGTGGGGATACTCAGAAGCGACGTCTTCGGTAGTATGTAGACCATCGTCTGTTCCTGGCTAGCACGAACTTCCAACACAAACGCTCGCATCGACGTACTTGTAGGGCACCCACAACAAGGTATTCATGGGCTCAGTTGGAACATGTGGCTATCAGTTACCGATGGAGAGCCCCAGTTAAGGATTGTCGTTCCTTCTGGAGTACGCTACTTGACTCCGGGCCTGTTTAGCACTCTGCTCTCCTTCAGCATTAAATGTGCCAAAGGAGAGAATCTCTATTATTGAAACTTATTATACAATTATTATTATTATTATTATTATTATACACGGGTGCCCTTCGGCTTCAATCGATGTGACAGGACAGTTGGGAAACGGACACCGACCCACCATTAATTGAGACCCATACTGCTACTCCCAGAGCTCGATTCCACGGCAGCACTTGGCGTTGAGTGTTCTATCTAGCTCGCAGATTGTCTCGCAAACTTGTGCGCGCTGAAGTTCAACAGACGAGGACAGGCAGAAGACACGATCTCTGTCACCAATGACCCAGGTTTTCCTGTTCCACTATAGCTCCTTTCGTCACATTTGGAAGAGAATAGTATGAAACTGGTTGCCATGTCATTCTAGAATCTTTCCAAGTTGGTCAGTTGACTTAGTTTGCTTACTTTGCTTCGGTTTGTTTGATGTGTCAGGTGCCTACAGCAATGGACATTTATTTTCTGCATACATCATAGCGTGATCTGAGTTCGTCCATAGGTTCTAGTAGGAATGGTAGTTCTTTTTGGAACCATGCCATCGACATCTGACCACAGTATAGCCGAACTGAGTTCAGTGTTGAGCTGTGGTGACGAATGTTAGGCAGCAAGGTTTTGCACTTGATTCCAGGGTTTGAGGCTCACTGAATACGGACGGTGGTCGGTGCACTGCCCTTTGCTTCGTGGTTGGGTTGACCTGTGTTATTTATTTTTAACGAACATGGGCGTCCAACTGGCGAATTCAGATCTCCGGTTGTTACAGGCAACTCTAACACAGGTGCCTTCTGAAGAAGCTTGTGAAGCTGGGTGTAGAGTTCATCCTTGACCCAAGAGGGGCTACAATAATTTTATCATATGTGCCGAAAGCACAAAGCTTCTGTTTCCAGACCGATATTGAAGACTTCGGGGGTCAGGTGACGCGTAGTTTGTCATTGATTTGTGTTCATTCAAGCAGCAAAACTTGACACTTCCGTATGTAGCTGCTGTACCCGTTAGGTCAGATAATACGGCCACCGAACGAGGACATAAACGAAACTCCACACGTTTGTAGATCCCAGCGCTTATGGTTTCAAAATGCACGCTAAAGTGGGTCGTAGAGGCCCGCCTCTAAAAGACAACATACATCGTCGTCCATACTCTCGGTGTGAAATAATGCTTCATGCCACCCGATTTTTCCTCTTGCTGGAACTGCGTTACCACCAGACTTACAGGTAGAAGCGGCGGTTTTACTCATGCTTCGTTCCTTCCATGATAATTGTGCGATCCGTTTAAAGGATCAAAAAAACTTTGTCCAGTAATCTTAGAATGCCACCTGGATTTCGGTTAGGCTTGAACTCGCAGTTAACTCAATTATAGGTGAGTTGCCCTACGTAACGACGTATCTCGATTTTAGTTAGCAAATGGGGCGTCTCTGATCTCCATATAATCCGTCACTCGACTCGATCGCTTCTGGAGAACTGACCACAAACAGTTTTATAAGAGACTATGATTGAAGTGCGCTTCATGTGATTGGCCGAAGGTTGTTTCTCTCGTAGATTGGTCTCTCCAAAGGTGAATACTTGCACCACAACTCCCCGTAACGGCCTCCGATGGGATTCTATGAATGATGGCCTTCCGCGCCGTATCATCATCGCGGTGTGCTTCCCCTTAATCAGCTTTCTATCATGAGACTGACCATGTGCCTCGGTGGACGTATCGTGACAACAAGTAATCCATGGCACCACCTTATGCAAAACCTGTTTTCACATCTGTCATCACCATCGTAACTCCCACCGACCACCGCGCTCCATGCTGACGGAGACGGAGACAAAATTAGACTCACAACCATAGTAGAAGCGACTTAACAGTCGCGTGGACAGATACGATTGTAAAAGTGCCATGAAGATCGGTTCCAGCGTTGGCGTGATGGCGAGCAAATTTAACTAATGTGCATGTTTTTGTTGACGTTTGGGTACTCAGTGAGACACTTCGAACGGGGGATTGGTAAGTTCCATGGAGAAAGGAAACCTAACTAAATGGAGCGAACAAAGGCTTGTCAACTGTGGTTGATGTTTTCAGATATTTGACCGTATTTCAGACGGAGATTCATCGGCTACAAGGGCTGTTGTATATCGGGAGTGTCCAGGGGTTCCCCAAAATTGTTTTCATGTTGGTCATCGGGAATATTCCTTATTCTTGCTATTCGTCCTTGTTCTGAATTGGCTTCATGCTTTCTCTCATATTCGATATAATCCTTCCTATTGTTTAAATGAATGTGGCCAATGTTCAGTCACGCATCCGTAGTCAGTAATCCAAGTTTACGGGTTATGTGAGTTTCCTTCCACTTTCTTCCCTCAGGATATTGATTTCCGAAGCTACCGCCTCACCCACCTTCCGAGAACCCGTTCAGTTCCACTTCTCATTCTTGGCTATTCAGACTTTTGTATTCCTTGTCAGCGACTACGACCGTTGTGGTCCCAACTGGCTGACGAACTCACTCCCCTCGGGGCCGCCGTGGCAGCGGTCAATTTGGAACGAGATGGGGCGTTGCGAGATGAGTTACGCGTACTGCATGTGCCGAGTATCACCATAGTGGTTGACGGTCAAGTAAGCGCATCCTTTGTTAGCAGCGTCAGACTGCTAAATTTCACTAGGTTCTTTGCCTTTCCATGCCTAAAAGCCGAGCGCCACCGTACAGCTTCTCATTTTTGTTGATTTCCTGTCTAGGTTCGAATTAATCACACTCGTGATCGCTCGGTAGTCTTTGAATACTAACCGAGAGGTTAGGTGCGTGATTATTCTGGACAGTCTATACCAAAGACTACTCCTGCCAAAGGCATGCCCTAGCAGGGCATGCTAGGTGAACAGTTAACACTATTCTACACCTATTCGCCGAGCCCCGACTAGTCATCAAGTCTGAGTGAGTGAAAATGTTCACACATGCGATGTATTGGTGCCTTAATATAGCGTTATTACAGACCGATGTATAGTAGGCCTCTGCCTTCTCCATACTGCTAAGGATTGACCAAACTAGTAATGACGCCTACAAACGAAGAGAGATTTCTCCACGTGGCCACGCATATTTGCAAAAGGTGTACCATCGACCTTTGGAAGCACTCAGAAGACTACTCAATATAATCGCTATTATAGGCGCGATATTGATTTCTAAGGATCGGACAATTCCTGGATAGGTCTTTCCTTGGCTCGACTATCCTTTTTTTTGTTTAGCTGCAGCACTGTGAAGTTTTCCCCGGCAAGACCTGAAAGTAGTAGCGGTGGTGGTCCGTTGGACTTAGTTGTTCTAATCCGCTGTCAGACAGTTTTTGGTTGGACTGTGTCAACCAGTCATCGATCTTCACGGTGTATCCCTCCGTTCCAGTCAACAGAATGGTCAAGTTTTTCGAAATTTGGCTATCAAACAATAGTCCCCCCAAGGCCGAATTTCTCCGTGGAGTGAAGGGTTTTTTCCGGTTTACAAAGTTTAGCTTCAGAAACCTGTGAATCGCTGAGAAAGCAACTTACTGTCCGCCAACTTCTAACGCGGCATTCCAACTTTGCAGATACCACTGTAAGCTAAGTTATACGGTAGGCGGCAAACAGCTTACGAAGAACCGATGAACCTTTGTTCAAACACTTCTGTATAACTGGGTACACAAAGCGTTTCTGTGGTTCCCACAGAAACGTGTTAATTCGGGTCTTGGAAGTTGTATGTCACAAAAAAGTGAGAATCTGTTGAGAGTCAGCGAGTTTTGAAGTATAGTCATTCGTAAGAAGACTGAGATTACGGGACGATCAGTCCGACTGTTGGACACTTTAAAATGACCCCGGCAAACGGTAGAGCACGGCCGACGCAAGTTTAGCTTGGCATCCTCCAAGAACTGCCCCCTTAAATCTAGGAAAGACGAGGTGCCTCTGTGGTTAGATTGCGAACTTACTGACCGGAAGGTCCGTGGTTCGACCCCACCCTCTGCATCTCGACTTCTGCTGTCTAGGTTTGAGCAAAAAATACCGTTCAGCACCCTTTCGGTGCCTAACTGCCATGCCACCCAAAGGTTGCACTAGGGCTGGAATACAGCCAGGTTGCCCCAGCGTAGACAGGGGAAGTCGAGAGGCAGAGGTCGGATTCGAACCACAGATCTTTCGGGCAGTAAATTCGTGTTCTAGCGACTTGAGCTATCTCACCCTCGCTTGATCAACCTGACATTATCCCGACTCTCGTGCTTCCTTTATGTGGCCTGGCAGTTGGGCACCGAAAGGGTGCCAAAGCTGAACGAAAGCTAGTTAAAGGATGCTGTATTCAAACGGATATGATACTAAATCAAGTTGTCTATGGAATGGTTGGTAACATACTTGATAAGTGTATTATAGGGCGAGATAGATACGATAAAACACACAAGAAGTTTTGGGCGGATCCACTGTTTGTAATCTATGTGGTATTATTGGATTATCAGAAGTTGTCATAAAAGTTCAGGCCTAAACTATGGTAGATAAGATCTGAAATGTCCGAGAAAGATTAGCGAAGTCTGGATCAATGTAGGCATTTTGAGGGTTTTACTTTTACGGCTATTGTTGTGAATTTTGGCGAAATCAACGCTCACAAGGTTGCTTCTTCACTAACAAGGTAAATAACAATTTAGCTGTAACACCTTTCCGGTGCCTAGATGCCATGCCATCCGAAAGAAGTATGTGGGCTGAGATACTGCCATGTTACTCGAGCCTTTCGAGATGCAGTGGTAGGGTTTGAATCACAGATCTTCCGACCAGTAAATCTGCGCTTGCAATCCCAGAGAGTAAGAGTCCAGCTGGATCAGCGCGCCATACATGACCGTAAGCCTCAGTCCGTTTCACAAACCTGTCTAAGCGGCAGACCAGAACTGAAAGGCACGCCCACAGGTCCCACGTGAGGCGGCTTCGTCTAAGCCTGTACTGATGGTCACTCAGCTGCGTATTGTTTTCTAGAGGGTGTAGAAACTGGTTAGCAGCTTTGGATTTCAGTGTTACTTTCTTGACAATCGGTCGAAGTCAGTCGAACTAAACCATAAGTAAAAGTTCCTGAAATCACTGTAAGTTGTTGACAGAGACGTTACTAATACTCCTAGTGTCCAAATAGTTGTGTAGCTGTCCAGACCGAATTAGCCACTCGTTATGCTGTCATATCCTACCGAATCTTCAGTCCCTGTAGACTGTTGTGTTGGGCCATGCCTGGTTGCAACCGTGGTGCAGTTCCCGAGCAGAATTATTGACTGGTTCTGGTGCCAGTAGCTTGGTCGCAACTGATGCCCTAGCTGGGTCGGAAAAGATCAAGCTAACTGACTCGGTATGCTTTTGAAAACTAATATTCCTCACGTATTTACTGGCGGAACAATATATGTACACTATTTCAAGGCTTTTACTGGCAGCTCATTAGAAGGCTCCTTTAGGGGATTCGAACCCGATTGTTTGAAACAAAAGTCTGCGGTGCTATCCATTGGGCTACCCGAACGCATTCAGAATAAACAACTAGTTCAGGAACATGTAGGCTTTGCTTTTTTAATATGACGATGAATATAATGGTTCTATGCCTGGGGGAAAAATTCTGCTTGTTTGTGTTAGTATCGGGGTATGCTTCCAGTGCATAAGGACTGTGACGTTGAACACTACTGATGGGGCATGCGAGTAGTATGTTTTCTCGTAAATCCACTTCTTGTCTCTTGAAAAGTGAAATCTATTACGGAATTTGTGGAGTCGCATTTGCTTGCATTTGAGTAACAGTCAGTGAATATCCAGGAAAGTTCAGGAAGACGCGTTTAAGGAGAAGATGGATATTCATTTTTTGTAAACAAGATGCATTGAGAGTTTTGCTTCCCTATCCAATAGTCTGTAGCTTTTCAGCTGGCGTTTCCTAATAAACATCTCCCAAGCGAAGGCCTTCTTCCTTTCATTAGTATTACGATTATGATTAGTTGTGAAATTAAAAAAAGCCGCGGAGTGAATTTAGAGCGAATGGTTTTCCATATTCTTACCCAAGGAAGACCTCCTTCCAGGAAAAGCCTCAATGGCATTTCCCATGGGTCATGCTTCTGTTTCAGTTCCCTTTGGAACGCGCATCCTTTCTTGGAAACAATTAGTAAGTTCTTTGTTCGTGAAGCGTACTCTGCACCCATGCCAATCCCAAGCCGATGTCAGAATGGACAATCTGAATGTTCACGAGTACTCAACCCTCTCAACGATGTTGGTGTATGGTCAGGACAGTTCCTTCTCATTATAATGGTATGAAATACCCTTGACGGTTAGGCAGTGCTACAAACCGACCTCGCGTTGATTCATCTAATGCAGGTTTCGTCCAGCTTGAATGCACGTGATTGTGAAGTGAATCCGCTTGGTTCTCGTCGTCGTAAGACGTTGTTATTTGGACTGAGATTCACACAGCTGAGGCTGGGTCTGGTCTAGAGCATCTACCTAGCGTATAACCCCTCCGGAAAGTATACCAACCACTGCCATCGAGGTAGCTGGCCCTTTTTACTGGAACACTTCATTCACATTGTTCATAATCTGCAATTGCGCATTCCCTTCCAACGCGAAATGTTGTGCGCATGGATCCACCACATCCAGCTGGGCTAGGAAACCCGGTTGATCCTAATTGACACCCGAGGTCAATCCGGGAAAGACTCAGAATTTATGCCAAAATATGCATCTATACCTGTGATCGTTATAGAACAGGGGGAACAGATGGTTCTGTGTTCTACTAATTCGTACGTCTTCCCCTTTACCTGTACATAGTATAATATGGAAACCTTTATTGCTGCATTCCAAACTGTGCGTAGCGGTCTTTCTGGGGAAGTTATCCGTTGGGTCAGGATGCATACTGGACTACATCATCTTCGGATAGTCTACAAGTTGAAGTAATATTTCCAACCACAACTCACCGGTGGGGCCAATTCAGAGCACAAGGTGCAGCTGCAGTCAGCATTCAAGTTCGTTGATTACGAGGCTTATTTTACCGAGGCACTCGGGATAAGCCATCGGAACCTCAGTTTAGATTTACCTTGGGATCACTATCCCTTCATACTCCGAGAAATACAAGTTATGTTATGCTCTCACTGTGTATTCACGTACAGATTCTACAAAGTGATGCCATTTCACTTTTGCCTCAGTTTTCTCACTTTTTTCATTTGAATGTTTACGTCACCAACATCGCGTGGTGCGAATGAATGAACTCTGCAATGAGTGTTCTCTCAGTTGGTTTTGTAGGCGACTTATTTTATGCGTATGCCTCATTCAATATTTTCTCATGTGTCCTGGGTTGTGTTCTTGAGGTATTCTGCATGATTGAAATTCTACGGTCGTCTGTATCAATTTCTTCCGTTCATTTCATCCTCATTTATCTGCATTGTCCTTTGCCCTGTTAGATCAACTACTACTCACAAAGTGGATTTGCTCATGGCCAGATAATCGATACCCTACGGCAGATCTTACTACGCTCTAACCCTTCGAGGTCCAAGGCTATACCTTCTTTCATGAGTACGACTCTGGATACGCCATTGATATACCACATCCAGACCAACTCCACTTTCTTTGAGGACTTTCATCCTGGCTGGCGTCGGGACAGTCGCCCCCGAATGGTGCTTTTCAAACCGTTGGCTGTACCGTCTTTGCGCTACCTTTTGGCAGCTTTCCGCGCTGCGGATCACGTTGCCGCAGGATTTGTCAACACTGAATCCAGCCAGGCCCGTGAATTCGTGCGTCACTTTGATGTACCTGTGAACGAGGTAGGTTTTTCAGGTGTACAGTGAAGTTAGTGTTGGTCCTTTTTTCCAGACGGGATGTTGGGCATTATTTATATGTTGTTTTCGTTGTTTTTGTTATTTTCAGTCAAAACTTTGAAATTCCTAACTGCTCACAGATTATCAGCGGTGTTTTCCTCCATATGACGCTAATTTCGATGGAAACTTGTCAGCTCACCACTAGTTTCGCCCTTCTCTGGGCTCGTCAGGTAGTCCCCCAATCTTCATCGATCTTGCTTCATACACGGACATCAAACCGTTTGTGTATAATGATAGGNGCAACTTAGGGTGGTATCCTGCTGAAGCTCTAGTTTATGGTCGGGCGAGTTACGTCATACTGTCGATGATGATGGTTCATTGGATATCGGGGAATGTCAATATCGAAGAATATCAACGAATATACATTGCATCAAAACATGCACTCTCCTCTCTCATTGAAACAGTTTTGAACTCAAAGAGACATAGGACATCTTTTCGGCTAGGAGAAGCCAAGATGGAGTTTCCTTCAGAAAGTATGATGAGCTTGTGATTGTCAGACGCGTTCCATCCTTCAAGCCAACCTTCGTTTGTCATCGGTTTAAAACACTCTGGCAATTTTGTTGAATATGATTAGCTCGGATGTGCTGATTGGTTGTTCACCTAGCTTGACAATTGGATTGCAAACGTTTCATCACCAATCGAGCTGCGGGGTTGAGCATAAACTTCTAGGAACTATTGGATTCAGTTAACAAGTGGAATGTTTATAAACATAATCCGGCCATCAACTTTCCAATCTTTGGCTACATTACATTCATTTATAATAAATATGCATGATATTCAGACCAGGTAAGTGCAATAGATTCTTTTGTATGGGATCACTTGGTATTTATTTGACAAATAATCCAATCGACAGTATTCAAACGGTTGAAATCCGCTTTATCGCGCCGCCAACATTTGATGGTTGGGACGCTTATTGTATCGCACAATTTACTACCTAATACCCCAGCATCACAGTTCCTGCTTTTCAGATCAGTATGTTTCATGTGAACTGCCCTTGACAGGCTGGCAAGCTCAGCAACTTGCGTTTTATAAGCCTAATTTCCTTGTGAAGTGCATTTCTTCAATGTGCTCTGCGGTTTGTTCACTATGTTGGGTACGCAGTTGCATTGAGGGAACAAACGATTGAATAAGATCATGAGGCAGCTGTATCAGCGGAATCAAGAGCAGTGATCCAATGGCTGCTTTTTTACCTTATGCAGTAGTTATTTTATGTTGCGAATTAGATGTTCTCCTATGTCACACGGCTACAACCAATCACATTAACGCTAATCCACTTCGAGACCAAGTGTTTAAAGATGCCCCCCATCACAGCATTCTACGCCCAGTCCCGCTTTTTCATTTCTGTTTATAGGAGAGCCTATTGATCTTTCATGAGGACCCCGATGTACCGGTTTATAGAGCTTCCGATGCCCGTCTCTCGCCAACCGACCTGGATGAGCCAATTATGGCCTACAGTCAAATGACCGTCCCTCGGATCTTCAGTACCGCCCGCCTTTTAGATCTGTGTCCCACGGACGGTGCGGAGCCTAGAAGCCAGTTTGCTTCAGCATCTGAATTGCGGACGGGTAAACTGAAAGCGAATGGTGGTCATCGAACACACCGGCACTTTTGCCTCGTCCTGCTGCTCCATTCGAAATTGGCCAATTTAGAGGCGAAACCGGTCGGACATGCAGACCATTGGCTGTCCGCATTACGCTCCTTGGAACCGTTTGTGCGCGAACAGATTCAACGCATTCGTAGCCCGCACCATGTTCTCCAGGTTAAACTCGTCCATGTATACATGGATCGTCAGGCTACATGGCTTCGACGACTGTCGTATAGTGCAAACGGCTTCCCAGTCGATCTCACTTCTCCCGGTAGGTACTTGCCTTTACTGATTACGGGTAGTTTTTTAAAAAAAAACATATTGTACCAAGCTTGAGCACTTCTATATGTTTTAAGAACGATCTAGGCAATAAGACTTGTTTCAAACTGACTACGAATTTACCCCCTGTTGCATTCATCTAGGAGAAGCTTATACACACCGTCATTCGGTTTACAATCCTAAAATTCAGTTCAGCTTTGACTGCATTGTGAATTCAAGTGTAGGACTTATGACGGGTGCCAAAATTTTGGCGTATGCCAGTCGACCGAATTCCTCGAAAGGCTCTTTTCGCATAAACACGTGAAGGGTGGAAGAGCCAGGGGCGGTCGAACAATGACTTGGCAGCGAAGTATGAAAGCCATTACCAGCAAACTCAGCTGCACTGGTCATTGCCGCCCTCAGTGGCACTCATGCATCCAAGCTATTGCTTTCAATGCATAGCTCCCTTCCCAATTCCCCCACTTAACAGTCCACCCACAGTACTGTATTCATGCACTAATTTATCAGCTTCCGCCTCCTATGCGCAGCTACTTACCCCACCTCCCCGAATCATCGGTGAACGAAATTGTGGCAGCTACAACCACTGTACGACAAGTACGCGGTTATCACAACTGACAACGAAGATGAATGAATCATTAAATCGTCAATCCAACTGTTCATGGTGAACATGAAATGCAATATTCATTCTGTATGATCTTTTTTCGTTTATGAAGAACGTGGATCTTCATCGGTGTTGTTTATCTGAACTGGCTGGTGTGGGTCCCAAAAGTGGAATTTAGTTCAGTTCTGCATCTTGTCATCTTTCAGCCATCCCATGACCTGTATAACTTCTAAGCGTTCTGAAAGACCGAATACCCCGGTTGCATCATCGGTACCGGGTTTTCCTTTTCCTAATTCTGGTTCTCCTCGTCTTTCGATCGGCTCAAAGGAACATTGTCAACGGTTACAAGTATTCATTTTTTGCGGGTAACCATCTTGTTACTGCCTGTTTCCACTGCGCTCTGGAGTAATTCCTTACGGCGTTTTTGGATGTCTTTTGCGTAAGTTTACAATGCCGATTGGCTCCGGGGTCCTTCAGGTTTCCAGAATATCTTTCATCTTGGTGACTGTATGGCAGTTTTTTCACACGGTAGAATTTCACTCTAGTCTACTGACTCCAGCAGCATAACTGTTTGCATTGGTTGCCACTAGATTATGCAGGTTTTGTTAGTCGGGACGACCTCCGTATTTTTAAGTCAGCTTTGGACAAGACGTAAAACATATCTGCTGGTTGTTGGTCAGGTGGTTGTTGATCTGTTCACCGAGCTTGGCAATTGGCTTGCAAACGTTTCGTCACCATACGAGGAGACATCATCAGTGCGCAGTTGGGTGCGCAACTGATGCGCACTGATGATGTCTCCTCGTATGGTGACGAAACGTGTGCAAGCCAATTGCCAAGCTCGGCGAACAGATCAACAGTCACCTGATCAACAACCAATGAACTCACCCGAGCAATCAATATTTCACCACATTACATATCTGCTGGTGTATCTACCTCATCTGATCGGTACAGACTGACACTGCTGCCGAAAATAGGCAACAGGTTCTTTGTTCGCCCTCAACGGAGGCTATTTCTTTGATATTCCTGTAAGTTTTATTGACCAAGGTCTCGTTCGAAACTAAAGTGCGTTGACTAACTAAGCAGGATTAGCACACTCGTGTCAAATTCAGAGGTTGGGAGCGTTAAGGGAATCACTCAACCCGAATTCCCCTGGGTTCGAACCCTCTGTTTTTTCTAGTGATAGTCAAAAACCCAAATGAACGCGAAACGCCCTGTCTGAAACCCATGCAAGCAATTGTGGACACATTTAGGCACATTTTGAAAACTAATCGCATGCAAACTGCACTTGCAACTGTGCACCGCTCACGTGATCTTTCTAAGCCGTTTGCGATATAAGCAATGTATGCAGTCGTAGTTAATACACGATGACCAAATTTGTCCAATTTGAGTTTTCAAAAGTGCGTGCCCATCCGAAGGTCGATCACAGGAGACGTGGCAAGATTTCGTTTCAAGATATCCTAATTACTGACCCTGATAGACTGTTTCGCAAGCTAACTGTAAATTTGGGTAACTCCAGAGTGCATGATTTTGTGCATATCGTCCAGATATAGCACCCTTTCGGTGCCCAGCTGCCGTGCCAACAGGAAGAAACACGAGGGCTGGGATACTGCCAGGTTGCCCAAGCTAGACAGGGGAAGTCGAGAGGCAGAGGTCGGATTCGAACCACAGATCTTTCGGGCAGTAAATTCGTGTTCTAGCGACTTGAGCTATCTCGCCCTCGCTTGATCAACCTGACATTATCCCGACTCTCGTGCTTCCTTTATGTGGCCTGGCAGTTGGGCACCGAAAGTGTGCCAAAGCTGAACGAAAGCTAGTTAAAGGATGCTGTATTCAAACGGAAGAAGACGGGGCTGGACTTGCAACGAGATGAACGATTTTTCTCCGGATATGATACTAAATCAAGTTGTCTATGGAATGGTTGGTAACATACTTGATAAGTGTATTATAGGGCAAGGTAGATACGATAAAACACACAAGAAGTTTGGGGAAGTCGAGAAGCAGAGGTCGGGTTCGAACCACGGGCCTTCTGGTCAGTAACTTCGCGCTTTATCCACTTGGTCCATCTCTCCTCAGGTGTGCAAAATCCTCGGTACACTAAAAAGGAATCCAGTCTAGCCCACAATCGATGGATGAATAGTCAATTGTACTACTTCTGTGATACGGTCATTTGTGCATCCTCACTCGGTGTTATCAACCTTTTGAGATTAATGCTGTTTTGTCTACTCCGGGTTGGTCGGGTGAATTTCTGACGCTTGTCACACATCCAGGAAATAAGCTATTTTACCGCCTCATGTTCACAAAAGCCTTGCCCTGTCCAATCTTTTTCTATAATTCCGACAAATTAACCGCCTTGGATCGTCGTTCAACGGATTTATGCCTCTGAACCGTATCAACGGCGTTAGGCTACTTAGTTCCCTTAGTGCACATTAGATCGATCACCCCTTACAATTTTCACTGCGACAATGTTGTTGGACGTTCAGCTGTATCATCACCCTTTCGGTGCCTAACTGCCATGCCACCCAAAGGTTGCATGAGGACTGGGATACTGCCAGGTTGCCCAAGCCTAGACAGGGAGAGTCGAGAGGCGGAGGTCGGGCTTGAACCACGGACCTGCCGGTCAGTAAATTCGCGCTCTAACAACTTGAACCATCTCGCGTTGCCGCAACGCAAAATAAGGTTTGCGTTTTAAAGTGATGAACTTGCTCAACCTTGGGGTTATGGGTTCTGTGGTTACATCGCCCGGTGATATTTCGATTACCTCCATACGACTTGCAACACCTCTGAAAGGACGCGAATCCGTTATGTCGTAGGTCCTCAAGAGTCGCACCTTTTTGCTTTTCCCATTGGGTTTGACAAATGGAAAACATGAGTCTGCTCAGCTCATGCAACCATGTTTTGCCTTTATTCTCAGGACTGAAGTTGTATATCCCTCCCTGTTCCTTTACTCACCACTATCCAGATAACATTGGTCGCCTCGTACTTCTATGGCGGATTAGTCCCACTCATACCGCAGTCTCTATGCTACCCGTAAACTCGGAGGCTCACCCTTCCAACTTGTTGCCTCTTTCCGCTAATCCGATTCCTGTCGACTGGTCTCCTGCCGTTGCTGCCTCACGAATACGTACGGCACTGCTGCTTGATCTGGTTGCCCTGTTGAACCCAGTGGTCGAAAAACGGACGGCGGATTTTCTTCGCAACCCCATTCCCCAGAACTGGCATCTGACATCGGACTATGTAATCGAAGAACATGTAGTTGACGAGTTAGCGGCACCTCTATGGCTTCGACTACGTCGCCGACTGTGGCAATGGAGTGGGGATGCGGCCGCTTGGTTCCTCGAGTTAGTCCCTTCTGTTTCTAAGTCTTTCAGTCAATTTGTGTTTGAGATTTGTCCACGACTCTCGTTTTAGCTCTGCAGTACAGCCCTGCCTCCTTCAAGAAACTAACATTTTCGGTGCTTGAGGTCAACATTGAAACGAGGGTCCTCCAAACAATCAGGAGTCTTTTTCTTGAGTGAGCCTTTGCTTCTGGTTAGCCTACTCCATTCACTCGACAGTGAATAAACAGCCGTGCACCCTTTTTGTCCTTGCCACAGTTCTACGAATACTAAGTAACAAAGTTAACCAAATGAACGCCTATCGGAGTATATGGTCGTTTGGCATTCGGGCAATCTCAGGTCTCGTTCAATAAGACCTTGATTAAAATCTCAGATCGATGGGTGACGGTGATGAACTCTCTGACCAGTCACTGATGATTCCAACAAAGAGACTCTGCCACAAGCATTGCCTCTGTGCACCTGAGTGAAGGACGGAAGTCCGGCAGAGCTCTTCAGTGGAACTCAGTGTCAAAGTTGGGGACTTTTCTGAATATCTGCCATATTTACTACAACCGGGCTTGAGTGCCTCTATTTCGGTGGATATTTATTGTCGAAACACGGTAAAATCTCCGCAACGACCCCTGCAATGACTGTCCTAGAGTGATTTACACTTGCATAACTAGTAGAAATGTGCCGGAGCTTCTTGAACACTTCTTTCTTGACGGATGAACAATGTAGTTTGTGACATACTTACAAATTTGTTCTAATGATTGGTACCAAACATGGGATACTCGGTGCGGTGTGCATGTTGTACAGAGGTTTTAGGTTGAATAAGGTGATAAATACCAAATTTCTGATCTTGAAGCTCCTCGGAACGTGTGGAGTCATCAAAATCGTGATAAATCTTTGACACTTTTCTGCTAGGTGCCCGAGTTTCCAGCATATCAAATGTCTTACCTTAAACCGAGGGTATGTGTATTCACCAGACCCAGTGCAAGTGAACATCTTTCGTTTTTCTTCAGATTTTTTCCGGTTGGACGGACAGCTAATCTCCATAAAAATGTGATATTGAATTCTCTTTTATGGGTACAACACTTGGTTTAGCTTTATTCTGCGATCACTGGTTTCCCGTAGACCCCTCACAAGCAATTTCTCTAACAGTAGGTCTTTCTCTTATGGTGGGAGCACTGTATCACTTTGTGGCGGTTACTCTTTAGATAATTCGGTTTCGAACCCTACTCAATTGTGGCTCTACTGGTGGGGGATGTCCATTGTACACTCATGTACACAGCTTCAGCGGATACGCTACTTCATTTGAAAGAAGCCGAAATTCCTCTTTCATGGTTGATGATGTCCAAACAGAGCCGGTGAATTTAATCCCATGGGCACAGTGATGTTTTTCCTGTGGATCTGCTGTCTTTATGGTACATGACGTCCTCGTTCACCAAGAACCCCACCGCCTCCGTGACCCAGTTGTGAGGTTTAATTGCAGTGCTCTGCCTCGTTATTTTACTGCAGTGTCCCTAGAACAAACCCTGTGTGAAGACCAGACGGACCTGCTTTACTTTGATAGATAGACCAAGAATCAGTGCAGGTTTTATACTTCTCATCCATACTTTGTTCTCCAGCTTACAGGATTACTATCCAATCGTAAAGTGTTGTGCAGTCTCATGTTAAAGTGGTCCACTGGTGCGCTCTTGCTTCTCAGTTTTATGCCGTGAATACTATTCAAACTGGCGTCATCTGTTGTTGTGCTTACTAGTGTACAGACCAGTGAACCTTCACTTGTTTTTGCAGTATGTTCCCGCACCCCCTGCTGTATTTTCCCTTTTACTCATTTAGTCTCCTCAGTCAGCCACTTTCGTTTGTCTTCTCCACGACTGCAATCATTTTGGGCCTGCTGCTGTTCAGCCTGACGCGTCTGGTCATGCAGGCAACGGAGGCCGAACGTCCAATTCGCCGACCGAAGGTATCCAAACCGGACGAGGAACCGCGTCCCTCTGAGCAGCCACGGACTCACTCAGCTACCGCACCGCCGAACGGCGTATCGTCCAGGTTGGTCTCATCATATTGCAGATTACCGTGTAACATTGATTTAGCTCTCCTGATAGGAATTCTTGGTCGAATAATTTTTTCACCCTGTTATCTTCAAACCTGATGAGAAGTGGGTCGTTAGACAACTACCCCGGGAGAAGAATGAGTCTATCTGCTATTTCTAAGTCTGTTAATCTGGTGTCTACCCGAAGCTGGTTGACTTATGTGATGGTGAAGCACGGTCGGAAGCGATCATCTGTTGTCCTCATGTCTCTTCGTGTACTCTGTCCCCAAAATTGAACGGAGTTGGAATGTTTCAGTGACCGGTTCCTGGAGAAATAGTCCAAAATGTTAGTTGTGGTTGCATGCTTACATCAATAAATGTTTTTTTTGCTTTCTATTTTGTCATAGTTTTATACCGTGTCTGCTCAGTCGATGTGCTCTAAAATGATTGTCACAACATCATTTACAATGCTCTGTTTTTCACTGAGTCGGTTTATGATTTTCATCTACTTCTGTTCGTTCTTCGTGTACCATTTTTAGTTCGTTCAGAAAAATCACACCCGCACCCGTGGTAGCCCTAAATCCGCTAACATACGACAGTCTGGTGCTGGATGCGGTCAGTGGTCATCAACTGTTAGTTATTTGTTTGCGTGGAGATGGTGGTGCCCAAGATCGCCGACTGTGCGCCAATTTTGCTTCAAAGACGGCCCATGTGATGTGAGTTTTCAAATGAATATGTTCAAAGTCGCCTCAAGTGAATCGCCTTTAATCAGTGGTTATGAATTCCTATTTTACGTAGCTCCCAAATTAAGTCATTCATTTCTGTATAACCACTTTCACACACGTATCAATAGTAGTCATCACATAATAAATTTGATAAGATTTCCTTGCCCTGCATCTTTGCATTCGTTGTGAGATGGAGCTGGTATTTTCCCGTCTTCCGGTTGATTCATTATCCAGTGGTCGACATCGAAAGGGCTCCGTATTGTAAATATCAAGTAGGTCCATTCAGTGAGTCGTTTCACTAGTACCCCTCTCAAGAATCGCGTGGAAAACGAAGTTTCGCGGTGTTTCTTGTTCAGGGCTTACAGCTTGGGGTCCAGACTTGATTAGAACGCATCACAGACTCCTTTAGGTCCAAACTGACTAAAGTCACCATCTCAAGTTTCCTTAGCTGACGTGAAATTTTGTTTGCTTGACCATTACCGAGTTAGACAACGGTACTGTAGATTTCGAATACTCTATGTACCACCCAAATGACGTGTTTTTCGGCGAGAGAGCCAAATCAATCCACTGTGTCACTGAACGTCCCAAGCAGTAATCTCGGCACTGGTCTGTTTTTCTAAAAAGAGATAGAAGTACTGCCCTACTTGCATGACTCGTTGGACGGCACTGTAACCTGTTTTTTTCGAACTTCTCCATCATTCTAGCATTTTGAACATCGTGCCGTAAAAGCCATAATTTCTCACTTGAACAGCGTTTTTGCTGCTCTATTTGCTTTATTCTCCCTCAGTATCCTACTTTCAAAATCTCCCATCATAGCCATAGTTGAATAAGCTGGTCGCATATTCGTTGAACTTATTATCCTTCACGACGAAATCGCATCCTCACAAGGCCACCAAATCGGAGTGAACGTAGCTGTTTTTAAGTAAGACTATCACTAGTCCTTATCTAACTCTTTCCACCTTTCTTTTCGTATTATTCACAACCTCAGTTCTCCTCGTGTTCGATGTGCCCAACTTTCTTTGGAACGTTACGCTGGCTGGTATGCCAATCTTCTAAGGGTTGCGCGCTCTGGAATGGCCGTACGTGTGTCACGTGACTCTGACAGTCCCTCCGTCGCCGACCCAGGCACGGTGTTCATTAACCCAGCCAACTGCGTAGGTACTGTGCTTGCTCTCAACGGTGCAAGGCGGTACTTCAGCATCTACCACCCATTGATGCCTGGTGCAGAGTCCAGTTCGACTGTGTCCGTACGTCTCCTGTTTTCAATTTTGCTAATCATAAACCGTCAGTAGTCTGTGTCTCCCCACCCAGGCTCTCAAACATTCCAATTCGATCAAGTAGATTTTTATAATCACGCCTAAATTGTTGGTTCATAGTCCGAACTGAAGCACTACTCTCCGTGTTATCCTTTTTTTTTTGCTTATCGAGCTCCAAAGATCGAACTTTTACCATCGGTGGCAGAGAGTTTTTGTTTGATTACGTTTTCATAGATGTATTTGTTGCGTATCCGCGGCACAGGTCGTGCTAGCAGTGGCTAACGATCATCTGTGGAGATCCCAAATCTGCAATCAGTCGGCTGGTTAGTTCTGATTGAGTGCCAGATTGGATAAACGCAGTTACCATTCTCCTACTGTTTTCGGTCACATCCAACATTCAGTAGGAGAAGGTTTGCGATCAGTGCGAGCCCGTAATTTATGTGAAAACAAAGTGTTAACCAGCCCCAGATATCCAAAGTTTCTACTTCGGAAGGAAACGGAAGTCAGAAAAGTCATTCACGTTGTTCCGGATGACCGTGATATTGGAAAGATTGGCACACACACACACACACCCTAACATTTGCTACTTCAAATTTCCCATTGGTACGTCTCAGTTACACGTGTACTGACAAACTTGTCCAAGACGATCCACTGATCATCATCATCATAAAGACAGCAATCATCATCATCATCATCAAAGACAGCAACATCAGTGTTGCCACTGATGCTTCACTGCCGTACAACGATCCACTAACAATCTCAGAGGTTCTCTGACCAAGCGTGGAATGTCTGAACTATTGCTGTTTCTGGTTAATTCTCCCATGAGGGGACGTGTAATATTTGTTTTCCATAAGCGAGATAGCTCATTGGTTAGAGCGCGAATTAACTGACCGGAAGGTCTGTGGTTCGAACCCGACCTCTGCATCTCGAATTCCCCTGTCCAGGCTTGGGCAACCCGGCATTGTTCCAGCGATCGTGCTCCCTTCGGGTGGCATAGCAACTGGGCACCGAAAGAGTGCTACAGCTGAACGATTCCGTAGACAACTACCCTCGCGTATTCAAGGACACCACCAGATTTGAGTAGTGTTACCGTTTCACAAGGAATATTGAAAACCAACTCGGATGAGAGCATTTAGGACTCATTGACATACATTTGAAACCGTCGAATGGGTCCCCTCACCAGAGCCTAAAGTGTATGCCGTCCAGTTTGGATCAGAACACCACAGCCTCCACAGAATTCTATTATACTGTGAACTTTTCCTCAGTTCCCGTACTTGGCATTCACTAACCAGTGTAGCTATCCTCATAAAATGGTAGATCTCAACGCAATCAAACCTCAAATATTTTCACTGCAAGCAACTTAGCTGTGTTAGGAGGCTAAGTTTTTTTTAGTATTTTGGTGTGTTAAGTATAATAATATTCGCAACCCGTGTTTCTCAAGCGTCCAGTGTGTGTTTGGCCTTCAAACGGTTCTCTAAGCCAATTTCAAAACATATTTTTACAGTTAAAATGTTATCTTACCAGACGAACACAAGCTCTTTACTGTCCTGAATTTTTCAGGACTCCGAATCCTCAGTGTACTCGGACACAGAGGCGAATATAGGTTCAGTTACTGATCGACCGCAAAGACGTCTCCCGACCGTTCGAAAGCGCCGAATCTTTGGACATATCTTTGGGATGGAGTCGGACGAGGATGAAGACGAACGTCAGTTGCAGTCATCTTCGCGCAGTCGACCGCCACCACCTGTGTTGCTTGAGAGTGAATTATTAGATGGACTTCCGAACTGGCTCGATCGTTTGTTCGAAGGCTCTCTACCTCGTTATCAACTCATCGAGTGGCCTTCAACTCTTCGCGGAAATGAATTGGACGAGTCAGACTGATCTGCCTGACAAACGTCCCGCCGTTTCTCTCAATTCTAATATCTGCTGTGGCGATTCCCCTTTGTTCCTGTTCTTTCCTTTTGTTACGGATTTTAGTTGATTATTGCTTTGCATTTCAAACCATTCTGGGTAGTGTATGCGGTCCAGCACAGAGAAATCCATATTAAATTGATGGTATTTTGAGACCAAATATACATGTTGTACATCGTACTCCGCTCCGTAATCTGTTCAGTTACTTCTTGGTCATTTGATAAAAATTAAAGAGGCTTATCACGTTCCTGATACCGAGTTTTTTGCCGTTTGTAGACAGGTCTTCGCGGAGCAGTCACGCAGCAGTGGGTTTCATCAGTCAGACGACCTTAATTAAAAGTGCCATATTCGTCTAGGCCATATACCCGCTCACTGTTCGGCTTCTTAGCAATGGCTAACTGCCTGACAAATGACGATTGCCACAAAATTTCAGTCGTGCTCAGCCCGTCGCTCGAAAGATATGACTGTTGGCGCAGCTCTGAGTTGGGTTTCATGGACCTTATCGTTTGGGTTATTAGAATCTTGTGTCATGGGTATATCACCGATGAACTTGAATCGTATATTCGCATTTCCGTTTGGCAACCTGTCAAGTAGACAGTAACACAACTACTGCTCCTTTACCATTCTCCAGTAAACACGGAAAGTGCATCCACGTTAAAGAGGGCGTGGTATTTTCTGGGGATAGACGTGTCTGCACTCGTATCCATCAGTGAGGGGTAAACGAAAGAGATCAGGAAGGGTCTTTCGAAAGGAGGTATCCTAAAGGTTGCCCATAAAAGTGGGCCTGAACGCCTCAACGTCGGTGACGGCTGCCTGCTTAGTTCGTACAACCAACATTGAAGGTTCTATTATGTGGGACGTGCACTGTTGCTGTTGGCTAACTGTTGACGCGAAGTGCCCTCGTGATACACGCTGACTGATAAACTTGCTGTTACAACCGACTAGATAAACTTCAGGTGACAGCGCGAAGGAAACGTTATCAATGTTCAACTGAGCTTATAGGCTCTTCCACACTTTCTGGTTTCTACTCATCTGATTTTCGTTGCATGCTGTTTGAAACCTTTCAGGACAATAATTGACCTACCCCAACAGCGAGCGTCATATCACTGAGTAGCATGATTACATAGCCAACATCTGTCTGTCTGTCCATGGACTGTTTCGTAAAAGACTCTAGTGATGCTTTTTCCCAACATCATGTTCAGGTGTGCTCATCAGGATGCTGTTGGAAGGTGCAAAATAGCTCCTAGCTCTTGACGGTTTTACGGGAAGGCACAGGGCTATTTGAGCTGATTGTCTATTCCTCTCCATTCTCTTCACTCCCTGTTGGGACTTCGTGTCCGTAGAACAACGCCAGTGTCTACCGCATTTGTGTTGCTTAACGTGATGGTGGTCTTGTATTTGCTCACGAGATCAGTTCGCAACAAAGGTAAATATTGACAGCAAGAACGCCTGTGAGCGAACCAATGAGGTTATTATGCATGTAAATATCACCACAACAGCTCCCACCACATGCTTGTGGAGCAATCAATTTAATCGCACTGGACGACCGGTCAACTGCCCGATACTTCCAACTGCGTGTACGTGTGGGATGGGATGGCTAAGTCGGTGTATTCGTTTCCTCTTTATTGATTCGAAGTTTGGCCCCTCCTGTTACTGCTCCGATCAGTAGTGGTGCTCGGAGTGGATTAGTGTAAGCCTTGACCGCACAAACTTTGGTCCAATATAACAGCAGGGGAGATGAGCAAGGTGAGGAATTAATAAGCACTAGAACGGATAAACATTGGTTGTTGATCAGGTGGCTGTTGATCTGCTCCCCGAGCTTGGCAATTGGTTTGCAAACGTTTCGTCAGCATACGAGGAGACGTCGTCAGTGCGCATCAGTTGCGCACTGCGAACTAGCATCACCTCACTGACTGTGAACGGGAAATGAACTCAAACAATTGATTCTTGAATGTTCTAAGGCTACAGGTGGCATGCGAGTTCTCAAGGTGAGGCTCGAAATTACAGGGGAGCCTATATTTCTTAAGAGACGGATTATTCCATTTGGCTTACGCGAGTCTGTTCGTCAAGCGTTAAATTCAATGTGTGCGAAAGGAATACTGATTCCTGTCAAATCGTCGAATTGGGCAACTCCGATAGTTACCCCACTGAAGGCTGATGGTATTACTCCGAGAATTTGTGGTGACTACCGGGTTGCGCTAAACACGCGGCTGCTACAACGTGCATGCACCACTGAAGAGCCAGAAGATGTACTGTATCGTTTATCAGGTTCAAGTGTGTTTTCAAAAATCGATCTAAAAGATGCCTATCTTCAAATACCACTGGACAAAGCCCCTAGTAACCTTACCGTGATCAACACACCCTTTGGGTTATTCCGATACAACTTCCTTCCCTTTGGTCTGAACGTTTCACCAGCTCTATTTCAGCAAGTTATGAATACTGTTGCAAAAAATTTGGTGGGTGTTGTGACGTACCAAGATGGCGTCACTGTGCACGCTGCTGAAAAAAGTTACCAATGATATGTGTCTGTTGTCTTTACTGAAGCGATTTTCTGAGTTCAATGTAGCTATTCATCCTGATAAATGCACTTTTGGTATCCCATCATTTTCATGCCTTGGCTACATTGTGGATGGCAGCGGTTTTAAACCTGATGCAAAACGTCTATCTCCTTTAGTAAGTGCGCCACCAACCAATGTACAAGAACTGCGTTCAGTTCTAGGAGCACTCCAGTATTGCTCCCGTTTCATTCCTAATTTCGCCAAACATGCAAGTTGTCTGTTTGATGTCATATCTTCCAGTCGATTTTCTTGGTCCTCCAACCATGAGAAGACGTTGCGTGCACTGCTTGTTCATGAGGGTTTGAAGTTCTTGTATCATCCAACAAAGTCTCTGGCGAAGTCATCTGCCGCTATGGTGCAACGGTGGATTATTGCACTGAGTTCGTATACCTACACATCGTAGTACGAAAATGATTCCTTATTCCGATTTCTTGTCAAGAATTCCATCATGTAACTCTGATTCAAACATTTGAGATTGTCTGTTGATTCAACCATTACCAGTCAAGCGGGATGTGCTTGTTGCTGACACTAAAAGATATTTCGCTCCCATTTTCTGTGCACTGCGATGTAGCTGGACGCAGCAAGAACGACGCCGATTTCCTGCTTTTTACTGTCGCC